ATTTTTTCTTTGAATTATGTATGTTGCATTGTTTTGGTCCTGTGTAACACTAGCCGATTCCAATACATTCTCCGATTGAATTGCAGATGACACCACCATTGGAATTCGACAGCAATCCGTTAATGCTGATATATCCATTTTGTTAATTCATTAATGATCTATTGTGTCTATCCAATTTCGGTTCAAATGGAAAAAAATCTGAAATTGTAAACGGCTTATACGACAACAAAACATATTTGGAGATTTTTTTCGCGCGAAAAACGACAAATCCGATCCGCCTTAGCCCGTTCTACCAGTTGACGCGATGCCTGGATTTGGTAATTGTTTCAATGTGTCAGAAACGTAAACACACAAATTGGTCGTGATGGAGTTTGGATTGATTTATACGGTTTATTTGGACGCTGATTGGTCATTACTTAGTAATGAAACGTCTAACATGGCGGAATCAAATCCTCTATGATAAGATAAATTCATTCTTGACCATTGTCCATTTGGATTGTATTACGAACACATCACGACTCCCTAATAAACAGTGTTTAGTCGCTGATTAGTTCTAGTTAGGTTCCGGGGCGAGAGGACATTTCTCTCTCTCTCTCTCTCTCTTTTGGTATTTCGAAGTCAGAGTGAATACTACGTCATTCGAAAGTTCAGACATAAATAAATAAATAAATAAATAAATAAACTAATACGAATCTTATTTTGTATTGAAGACAATCTCTAACCAGGAATGTCATGTGCAGAATAATTCGTTGATTGTTTTGCCGACACTGAGAAGCATTGTCAATATAGCCATCAGATACCACCACTTTACAAATAGGTTTCCTATTAAAAACGTCCATGAGGTGCAGAAAACAAACAAAATATTTTTTTTTAAATATCTGTACCGGATCCGGATATATACGAATAAATTATGCGCTGATTGATTTATTATAAACATACTGGACACTACTTATTATACCTCTATAAATATTGTTAGAATTTTTTTTTTTTGAATTTACCAGTAAAAGTTGTTCGGGAACTCCACATTTCAATACATCAACAGGCTTGGGGATAGAAAAATAAAGGAGTTTAATATTCTAGATAAATTCATATTCAGCATAACCTCACTTAAAGCTTGATTAAGAAATGAAAGCGTTAAATTCTGATTCCTATAATTTAAACTGCATCTGCAACTTACAGACAAGGTGGATTTACTTTTATCACATGTTCACCCCTTTATCCCGTGGATATCACTCATCAAATTGGGTATTTTTTTCATATCCCACTGCTGTGAAGTCACGATGGGCTTTGTGTGAAAGTGATGAAGTAAAATAACGTGGATTCATATATAAAAACAGTGTAAAGCATTAATAGTGATGGATAAAACATGTGATAAAAAGATTCTCCCATGATTTGTGGTTGAATATGTTTTTTTTCCAACTCGTTGTGTGTTTTTATCCCCTCGCCAAGGCTCGTTGGATAAAAATATTCAACCACAAACCATGGGAGATCCTATATGTCTCTATCTAACCTTATATATATATATATATATATATATATATATATATATATATATATATATATATATATATATATATATATATATATATATATATATATATATATATATATATATATATATATCTCCTAGTATGCATTACATTTCAAAAATAGTGTATCCTTTTATCCTTTTCCTCTGCATGAGCTATTTGTTAGTATCTTTCGACTGAAACATTTAAAGAAAGTTTTAAGAAACGGAATGAAAGGTTATCGATCCCCGACTTAAAAAAACAAGTTAATTCAATTTTATCCTTAAAGTCAATAAGGTCTAACTTAGAGTGGGGCCCAGGAGCGCCTCCCCCCCCCCCCCCGTGACCAAAAATATACATAAGATTAATAGTCAAAAAACTGTTCCAAAAAACTCCAGAAACCGAGAGCTTTTGGAGGCTTCGCCCCTTAGGCCCCCACCCCGACCCCAAACTGATCGGGACTCCTTTTCAAGAATTCTAGATCCGCCACTGGGTGTTTTTTTTTTTAAGTTAAAGAGTTTTATGTTCTTGAGTTTCATTGCAAAGCTTGCCCGAACTAAAGTTATCATCTGAAAACTATACATGTAATAAATGAATTTCTAACCTTGGTCTTTGACCTCAAATCAACAGGGATCTTGTTTAAGTCATACAGGTGAAAAATTTCATTGCAAAATTTCGAAGAGAAATAAAGTTATCACAAGGAAATCATTTTATGCTAGATATTAATTTTTAGACTTGATTTTTTGACTAAAACTCAATAAGGGTCTTTTTTGATTTCACTGAGACATAAAACGTAAAGACATTAAATTTCATTGAAAAAACTCAAGAAGAACTAATTAAAAAGTTATCATCTAGAAACCAACTTTTGCTATACATGAATTTCTGGCCTTGACCTTTTGACATCAAAATCAATAGGGTTTTTAAGTCACTGGTAGTAATGATATATTTAATTTCATTGAAAAAAGCTGAAAGAGATCTAGTTATCATCTAGAAACCAATTTTTGTTTTGTATGAATTTCTGACCTTGACCTTTGGACCGCAAAATCAAAAAGAGGTCTTATTTAAGTCACAGATAGTATATATAAGTAATTTCATTGAAAAAGATGAAAGAGAACCAAAGTTATATTCTGTGAACCATTTATTACAACGTAAACTTGACATCTGACCTTTTGACTTAAAATCAACTGAAGTCTTTTGTAAGACATTGAAAGTTTTGATGCTAACTTTCATTGAAAAGGCTCGAAAAAAACTTCATTTTTTTCATTCGCAAAAAAAAATAATTGCAAAAGCTCAAACGCTGTTTGAGATATCGTCCGGAAACGAAAGTGTTACATACAGGGAGAATAACAGACAGACGGACGGGCGGACAGACCCAAATTAATATCTCTCACTTTCAGTGAAAGCGGGAGACAAAAATTGGAAGGAGGTATCAATGGCAAAAGTGCCTGTGACGTTTCCAACCGGCACTTGACGTCATATTTTTTCTTATCATAAAAAGAATACTCCTGCCTAATTATAGCTCCCCGAAAAAGAAAATATTGACAGACCGGAGATTGGATGGCCCTTTGGCTCTCTGGTCGTCCACCCAAATTTTTCCAGACCAGCAAGTTACAAATCAGCAGCTGGCCTAATTACAGTAATAACTTGTCACAAAAATATACCCCACCCCATCCCCAATAATTTTTTGAGACAATATCAAGTGCCTGTTGAGTTTCCTTAGATTGCTGATTTAAAATAGAATTTATTTCAAAATCAGGGCCTTATGGGGCACGACATATGACAATTATGATTACATATAAATACACATAAAACACATCAATAACATTTACTCAAATAATAAAATGCTTTCTTTGGTTGTTAATACGGGAATTAGCTTAATTAACCCGCGTTATGTAAATTTTTTCTGAAATAGCTGCGACGTTAATTCCCGTACTAACAAAGAAAGAAAGACATTTTATTGTTTATATTTATAACTGTATATAAAAAAAAAAACATTTAAAGTAATATTAAATGCGTGAAATATTGTATTACAGATGTGTATGTCATGGTATGCATAATTGATGGAAGAGCCGTTGCTCAAAAAATCTTTGCAGGTGATTTGCTTAGTTGCGTTACATGTAACTGACTGATAAACGGCAATGGTTTTCATAAGAAATAAAAGACATACAGTAGATGTAAATATATGTAATTAGCTCATTGTTCAGTTTGTATAGTAATATAACGTTTGATGACTAGATACAATGTAACTAAAAGAAACAACTCATTGTTCAGTTTGTATAAATGTATAATGATGAATAGACGCACAAATTGAAAAAAAATGTGTAAAAGGTTAACCAATCATATTATTATTATCATTTTTTTTAACATAACATTTTGAGTAGATATATACATGCAAAGAGGAACAACTCTTGTAAATCTTTGACTAGCATGTAAATAATATACAAAGAAATATATGAACCCTTATTTATAGGCTCAGTGGAACAAAGATATTTTGAATTACATGTACTTAAAGTGTCGTAATCAATTTGTTGTTATGAAATTTATTTCGGGTTCTCAAAAAAAAAAAAAAAAAAAAACAAACACAAACTTTTTGACTACTCCATCAGTAAGGAAAGACCATTACATCTCACAACTTTAAACACTGGTGTTGATCCAAAAGTTCCCTCGCGATCCTGTCTGTGTTCTGAATGATTAATAAATCTAACAAGAATTCAAGATTTTGATTACAAACTTACAAGAAAAAAAAAGAAGTAAAAATTAAAAAATTTTGTCCCCATACCTTTCCTGCAGGTCTAACATCGTCCTTCCCATTTTCCCCAGACCAGTGAGCTTCAGTCCGCAGTTACTCAAACCCATCAAATCAGTGTTCTCATTTCATCAAACCAGAAAGTTTATCAGTACAAATACCAGAAGAAAATAGATGAGTGCCTCCATTTATTTCATAATATGTTTAACACCCTCCTTTTTTGTCAATTTTATTTGAAGAATCAGTAACACCCCCCTCTTTCCGCCGGTGTTCCACCCAATTTCAGGTATAGTATGAAAATAAACTGTTTGAATATACAGGGGTAGGTAGGCCAAAAAAAATTTAATAGTTTCTCAGGCCAAAAATTTCAATAAATTTAAAGCGGCAGGTATGTTTTTAATTATAATATGTATTCAACTTTAAATAATGTTATTCCAAACAAAGTTAATTCATAAAATACCGTATTAACAAGAAATATAATGTTTAATCTAATAAATAAGGTATCGATAAGCATTTATGAAAAGGGAAATAACTCGATTCTTTTTAACTTGGAAAAAATAGAAAATTGGGTTATTTCCCTTTTCAATATGTCGATAAAATTTATCAATGCGACAGTGTTTGACCTGATGCGGCGGTGCCTGAGAAACTATTGATTAATTTTTTGGCCTTACCAAACACTTTTTTTCACTGTACATTTGCTTGGGCATTTTTGAAAAAAAAAATACACTGCATGATTAACAAAATAATTTTGTGTTTTGTTAGAAATTTTATTTGTCACATACAAACTTACAAAAACAAAACTAATGATGACTGATCAAATTACAAGTTTAATGTACTAAAAGTTATTTAAACTGATTTTGTTTATCCTATCCAGGGACTTTAAAACCTTCTATGTATCCCAAACAGCATTTTAATAAATTTATCTTTAGTTATACAATTATGTAAACTAGAAATCTGACCAGTCAGCAAAGGGCCCCGCCAATGGGGTAAAAATATAAGGGTGCAGATAAGGGGATGAGAATTTTACTTGATTACAAAAGTTTCAAAAATATGTAAAGAAGAATAAGCAACTGCTAAATATCCAACAACCCGTAAATAGTTTCCTTGTATTTACATAAGGCAGTAAAAAACATCATATCTATAATAACTCAATTAAAGTGTATTTAAAGAAGAATAAAGCATGTGTTTTCTAATTAAATGTATATTTAAAGAAGAATGAAGCATGTGTTTTCTAAAATGCCAGCCTTCAGTGAATGCAAATATCACCCAGGCTTGACCTTAACTTCAAAACAAACATCAGTTGCAGACAAAGGTGTTAATCAAACTTAAAGTGACAGAAAGATAACCCTCTAAAATTTTCTGCAAGCAGCAAGATAATCAAACCCAGGGGATAAATTATACTGCTCTCTCAACCTTTTCTTCTAGGTTTACAATAAGAACTTTTTCAGCAATGATAGAATGAGGTTATTATCTGAATACCTGTTAAAATAAATAGTATGCTTGAATTTACATAAGGCAGAAAAAGAAAGAAAAAAATAATAATAAAAAAGATATCTTTATCTATATCTTGTTTTTAGAATTCAATAAAACTCATTGTGTATTTTACCAAAATAAAGTATGAACATTATTTAAATCCACATTTCAGAGAATGTAAACCTCATTCAGAATTGACCTTAACTTCAAAACAAACTTCATTTGCAGACAGAAGTGTTAATTAATCTCAATGTGGCAGATAAAGATAATTGCTTTGGATTTTGTTCAAGACGAAAGTTAATTAATCCCACGAGACTCATTGCAGCCTTTCCTAGTTTACAATAGGAACATTCTCAGCAGTTATCTCTCTTTGCCCATTCACTCTTATATAAAGTTAAGGAATCTACCAAAGAGAACCAAACTTAGCATCAAAATATGTCTTACTCCTATTCAACCAACATACAAAATTTGAAGTTAATTGGTCAACCCTAAAAAAAGTTATTAGAAAAAAACAGAAAATTTGTGGACGGAAGAATGACAGACGGACAGACAGCTAGACGGACAGACAGACAGACAGAGTGATTACTATAGGGCACCCGCAAATCCTTGCGGGGCCCTAATAAAAATCCATAAAGGAATTTTAATACATTTTTTAAATCTTATAGCATTCATTTAGTTTACAAGCACCTGAGGTACAAGTATGCCAATGATCTCCTACATGTATTCCCCCTTTTATTTTGCATCAGACAGGGATAAAATCAAAATAATTTTTGTGAACGTATTATACAAATGTGATTAAAAATGATGCATTTTGATGAATGAAATGCATCTTCAGGTCAACTTGAGTATCTACATAATGTGTACATAAGACATTGAGATCTCTTGAACTGAGTCAGCTGACCGCCTTCATAATTGTTTGTATCACACTTATCACATTGCACTGAACACTCAGACTGTAGGACTAGATGTTACTGGGGTAGTTGGGGGGCCAGGCGAGAAATGATAGCTATAGCCTTCAGACAGGCACTCCTGATAACCCCGGGACAGTTAGGCATCGCCGTGAAGTGTTCTACCGTCATCCTCATCTCAGTAAACAGTGTCCTGTAAGAAAATATAGATATCTCAGTGAACAGTGTCCTGTCAGAAAATACAGACATCTCAGTAAACAGTGTCCTGTCAGAAAATAGAGACATCTCAGTAAACAGTGTCCTGTCAGAAAATACAGACATCTCAGTAAACAGTGTCCTGTCAGAAAATACAGACATCTCAGTAAACAGTGTCCCATCAGAAAATACAGACCTCTCAGTAAACAGTGTACTGTCAGAAAATACAGACCTCTCAGTAAACAGTGTCCCGTCAGAAAATACAGACATCTCAGTAAACAGTGTCCCGTCAGAAAATACAGACATCTCAGTAAACAGTGTCCTGTCAGAAAATACAGACATCTCAGTAAACAGTGTCCCGTCAGAAAATACAGACCTCTCAGTAAACAGTGTCCTGTCAGAAAATACAGACATCTCAGTAAACAGTGTCCCGTCAGAAAATACAGACCTCTCAGTAAACAGTGTACTGTCAGAAAATACAGACATCTCAGTAAACAGTGTCCCATCAGAAAATACAGACATCTCAGTAAACAGTGTCCTGTCAGAAAATAGAGACATCTCAGTAAACAGTGTCCTGTCAGAAAATACAGACATCTCAGTAAACAGTGTCCTGTCAGAAAATAGAGACATCTCAGTAAACAGTGTACTGTCAGAAAATACAGACATCTCAGTAAACAGTGTCCCGTCAGAAAATACAGACATCTCAGTAAACAGTGTCCTGTCAGAAAATACAGACATCTCAGTAAACAGTGTACTGTCAGAAAATAGAGACATCTCAGTAAACAGTGTCCTGTCAGAAAATAGAGACATCTCAGTAAACAGTGTACTGTCAGAAAATACAGACATCTCAGTTAACAGTGTCCTGTCAGAAAATACAGACATCTCAGTAAACAGTGTCCCATCAGAAAATACAGACATCTCAGTAAACAGTGTCCCGTCAGAAAATACAGACATCTCAGTAAACAGTGTCCTGTCAGAAAATACAGACATCTCAGTAAACTGTGTCCCATCAGAAAACAAAGATATCTCAGTGTCCTGTCAGAAAATACAGACACCTCGGTTAACAGTGTCTGTCAGAAAATACAGACACCTCGGTTAACAGTGTCTGTCAGAAAATACAGACACCTCGGTTAACAGTGTCCTGTCAGAAAATACAGACACCTCGGTTAACAGTGTCTGTCAGAAAATACAGACACCTCAGTTAACAGTGTCTGTCAGAAAATACAGACACCTCGGTTAACAGTGTCTGTCAGAAAATACAGACACCTCGGTTAACAGTGTCCTGTCAGAAAATACAGACACCTCGGTTAACAGTGTCTGTCAGAAAATACAGACAACTCAGTAAACAGTGTCTGTCAGAAAATAAAGACACCTCTGTTAACAGTGTCTGTCAAAAAATACAGACATCTCAGTTAACAAATCTGTCAGAAAATAAAGACATCTCAGTTAACAGTGTCCTGTCAGAAAATACAGACACCTCAGTTAACAGTGTCTGTCAGAAAATACAGACAACTCAGTAAACAGTGTCTGTCAGAAAATAAAGACATCTCAGTTAACAGTGTCCTGTCAGAAAATACAGACATTCATAGATTAATTATCATTAATTGTTCTGCAATGAGCTTGTATAAATGTATGTGCATCAGGATCAGAACATCTTAAAGTTATTGTACCTACTTTTTTTTCAACTTCAAGTTTCATTTTTTTAATTGTTGAAATGTTTACTGAGTATCTTTTGACAAGTAAAGAATGAGAGTTAGAGAAGAACTTCAATTTTACACTCATAATGCTTTGTATTAAAGTGTACTTCCATAAAAAATTAAATAAATTTACTTATGAAATTTTTAACATCAAACTGATGGAACCTAATCTATTGATCTGAGAAAATGCTGTATGCACTTACTTAACTCTGTGAAATTTATAACCTTTCCAATCCTAACACCTTGCTCTGATGTAAAATGTATGTCATATACAACTCTCTGTCAGTTCAGTAATCAGTTTGACACAAGTATAAACATTGGCCTACTGAAAAGCCAAACTGTTGACAAAAGTATAATACGTTTATCATAATGAAAGTGAGAAGATACTACACAGTCACTGCTGTTTTGGAGTCTAATGATTTAGCTTCCCAAGGAGTACAATATTCATGGGGCCCAAAAGGTGAGGTGAATATTGTACTAGTCTTGGAAGGTTGATAATTCATTGTACTGACCTCAAAAATTAGCAAGAGTAGTTTTATTGTTTGATTCAATGACTAAATGAATCAAATTAACTAAGCAAACCCCACCATCTTCCTTAGTTTTATATGTCTTCCCTAAAGTCCTAGCCAAATGCAGTGAGTGATTTGGGTTTTCATTGGACATTCCAATAAAAAAATGAAAAAAAAATATCAGTTTAGAGTTTCTCAATCTATTTTGTTCCAAGTAGAAAAAAAATGATTGGATGCAGTTGAATATATCTTTTGTAAGATTTCTAGATCTGGCTTTCAGCCACATCAGACAGTTATGAATCACTCAATCATAAAATTTGTTCATACAGTTGACACTTCAGCATCTGAAAGACTGTTGAATACCAGGGTTATGATGAAATGAATATGCTCCCGAGTGCATGTTGAATTCATGTCTTGATTTCATAATCTCAAATCCATAGAGATCTCTCTGTCTTGTGACAGTCCTTGTATATTCAAGATATATTTTAACACTACTTTATTGGATGTTTGCCTTACCTGCAGTATGGATTTCTTCTTGAGGAATATCGTAAGGATAAAAATCTGTAGTATATAATGGGCAGGAAAAAACTGCATTTTCCACTGAAAGTTAAAAATCAGATGCTTTACTATAATGAGAAATTCTTTACATTATAGATATGGCTTTACTATAATGATAATTTCTTTATTATACTGTATGTGTACATATATTAACATTCAAAATGTAGCGCAATGACTTAGTATGAAGTGGTTGGCGTAACATATATACATAAGCACTACAGATGTCTGCACTCTGCATTGTATTTATTTTTTAGTAATGGCATTCATGATTTAGTGCATTGTTGTCTGTGACAAAGCAGCTAAAATATGAAGTCCATTTTTTTTAAGAACATATACAGTAATAATGTGGCTTTACTATAATGATAATTCTTTAATATAATAGATATGGCTTAATGATTTCAAACTTCATTTTTTTAAAGGTTAATACCGCGATACATAATTCATTATTAGAAGCATGGCTTTCATATTTTTAACATGTGCATTATATGTGACAAGATATATCAAAATGTACAATTATTTTTTACCTCATGGCCTAGACCAGATTGACTTTAAAGAGCTTTAAAAGACTTATCGCATATTTCTAAATTATTTGAAATTAAAAGCGTAAAACGTTCCTTATGACCAGAGTTTATAAATTTTGCGTTTTTACTGAGGATAAATGGCGGTAATTAACCAATTATTGACTCAAATGAAAACCCCTGAATTAAAAATCTAAGTTAATGAGATAGCGATCACGTGACCCTGTGACGTCAAAGGCGACAATGGCTGATCAGCTCCTAACGTTAATCTTACTAAAATATACGCGATACAACCTGAATTTTCTGCGTTATGGATGACCAAATCACCGATTTTATCGATATGTAATTTAATAGCCAACCTTATATTTTAGAATTGCCAGCAAGAAATAATCTGAAAAATCCGTTAACATTGTAAAAATAACAGCGACGATAGCGGGGGAGACGCGGCGAAGACGAAGAAACTCACCATCACAATACAACTTGATTTGTCATCATATCACATGTATAAACTTATCTGATTCACAAATTTAGTATTATATAACTATGTTATTCTACATTTTTAACATAATATTAATTTATGCAAGTATGCCTTCACATGTTTTGTAAAGGATGGCAGTCTTGAAAAATAATACATAGCCGTAATCAGACCTACAGATTCTAAATGTTTGGAATAAAAAATGAAAATATCTTAAAAGCCTTATACCTTAGAACTAGTTTATGTTTCTATAGTAATTGAAAATCACGTTAGGAATTAATTTTTTCAGCATTTTTCGTAATTAAGCTGAATTTGTCGTTGATAACTCCGTAAAAAGTGTGCAACTTCTCATCTCTCTATCACTGAATTGTCGCCTATGACGTCAGAGCAGTATTTCGCCGAAATCCGACTGAAACATGCATATTGCCGTATTTGAATTTCAACTCTCAATATCTCTTAAAATACGCTTTCAACAACGTTTATTGTATTCAGAATTTTAATAAACAAGGTTGTAGATAATATTTTTCATAAAATTAAGATTTTTGAAAAATCATGCGATAAGTCCTTTAACCTTGGCAAAACTGCACTAGAACATAGATCTTCCAAAACATAAAATATTTTATTTTTGCCTGATGGATAGATAAGCAAAGACAGGCAAGACAGTTTCAATATGCAATAAATCATTGCAAACCAAGCAAAAAGACCCCGAAAGCGGGGGATTGCAGTTTTCTGAATTTCCTTGTTAATACTAATTAGAAACTTGGATTCAATGCAGAAATCCTAGTAACTGCTTGTATGTACATGATGTACCTTGATTATTTTGTGATTTAGGCCCACAGTACCTTTAGATCACCAATGGGATTAATTTTCCTCCTCTGCACACTACTTCATTTCAAGGTTTGTCCAAAACAAGAGGTCACAACGCTCACCTGAGTAACTAATGGCCCTTCTTGTTCTTCATCAGCAGATTTTTTCCTATTTATTCTTATGTAAAAATTTGATCATCCATTGTAGCCCCACCCTACCCCTGAGGGGCCATGATTTGAACGAACTTGAATCTACACTATGTGATGATGCTTCCATATAAATATGACTTATCATGGCTTTCCTGTTATTGAGGAAAAGATTTATTAAAACTTTTAATGTGTTTTCCTATGTAAAACTTTGATTGCCCATAGTGGCCCCACCCAATCCCCCAGCAGTCATGAATTAAACAAATCTAACATACACTACCTGCAAATGCTTCCTTATAAATACAGTTAAACTTCGTTATCTCGAAGTTGACGGGACCGTTGATGAACTTCGAGATATCCGGGGGTTCGACATATCGAGGGTTATAATTTTAATGAACTTCAAATAAACTTATTGCAGTGAACATGCACTTAATAGTAGAAACATGTGAAATTCCTTCTTGTTTGAAATTCTGTATACGATTTCTTTAATATACATGTACATCTAATTAGCATTAAAAGATTTTTACATCCTCTTTATAAATCACAAAATAAAAACTTTGTATAATATGAACAGAAGTATAATCCTTCTACCAACCCGGCAAGTCAACCGCTAGCATCATTTCCCATGTATACATAACCGGATATCGTCTATGCATTGTAAATTTAAAACCGGTCGCTGTCAGAATAACGCAAATGAAATATACATTTTTTTAATTGGAAAAACATGTTCATACATGTATAATCATTTAAATAAAATTTTTTACCATAATAAAATCAATTGCGAAAGAAGAAACACGCACTTTTGTCTAACTAGTACAGAAGAACACTGAATCACAGGGCAATAGCAGAAGTTTTCACTGCGACACACCCTCACATGATGGTGTGTACTGACGATTGTAAATTCTGCGCGCTCATATAGGAAAAATAAATTCTAATTGCATCAAATTACAGAATTTTGTTTCACTTTGATGTTTATAATTTTCGCTTTCATATGCATAAACTATGCAAGCGCGCATATTACACATAGCGTTAAATAGCGATTATCAAGATAAACGTACCCCAGCCACGAAATGTGTCATCCACGCGTATGCATAAGACTAATATACACAACCTTTGGCTTGCATAATTAAAATCAAAGTAAGCCACACATACACCTCGTATAATTATCGCGCTATTATCTGTTGATCACAGGAACACAGGTACCCGTGCGTGACAGACAGGTGGCTGTTGTCAATAGAGCTTCAGTTTACCTAATGGACTTGATCATCAGAGCGGAAAATTATCCTGACTTCGAGATAACGCGTGTGATTTTAATAAATGGGTACACAATTTTACTTCGAGATAACCGGGGTATTCGACATTACCGTGTTCGACATAGAGGGGTTTATTTTAATCATTTATAAAGCAAATTTCGTCGGGACCGCAGCCTTACTTCGACATATCCGGGGTATTCGAGATATCCGTGTTTGAGATTTCGAAGTTTAGCTGTATGTCTAATTATGGCTTTGCTGTTTCTGAGATGAAGATTTTTTTTTAGAGATTTTTCTAAAAATGTTGAGGACCCATAGTGGCCCCATTCTATCCTCGGGGGTCATGATTTGAACAAGCTTGAATCCACACTATGCCAGGAAGCTTTCACATAAGTCTCATTTTTTCTGGCCCACTGGTTCTTGAGAAGATTTTAAAAGACCCCATCCAAATTTTTACCATTTCTTAATTATCTCCCCTTGAAAGAGGGTGTGGCCCTCCAACAGCCAAATTTTGATCAGAAAAGCTCTTTTGGCTCAGATGAGCAAAAAAAGGTCTACTTCTGCCTATTCTAATGCTACATGTTGGCTAGATAGATAAGCTTATTGATTGAAAATAATTACATATGTACATAACACCTAATTGCCTAAATATCTTAAAAACTTATTCTCATGACTTAAATCAGTTTCTGTTTTTATTAATTTAGCCTTACATGTGTCATACTAATTTATGATTATCCCAACCACTTCAAACCTGGTTATTGCGCTAAATTTTGAATGTGTCAATTTATGTACACGTATAGTATTTTTTATAATTGCGACTGTTTTCGAAAAACAGTGAGTTTTGTTTAGACCCTTAGTCCTTTCACAGCTGAATGAACACATACACAAACATCATGAAGATGATAGCTGGCATGATGAAGATCTCTGTACAGGCAATAAAACGGAGGATGTTAGTCTGCTGAACTTGAAGTTTGTCAATTAATTTACGAATGAACTGCATGGAGTCTGGTCCCATCACCTACAAAACAAACTTGTATTACTGGTATACCATTATAACCTCAAATGTTATTTCAATCTGTAACAGAATTTTTGTAAACAAAACATCTTGCATTTGACATAACTTCTCTCAAAATTACTTAAGTATTTTCTTGTGTTCCATCATGGTAATTAGAGTTGAGAATTCAATGGGACTGATATTAAACAGAAGTACTTACATTTAGGACATTTTTGGTGTAGTTACAGGCATGAAGGAGTGCAAACAGAAAGACAGGAATGACAGCCACTGGTCACTGTTAAGGTCACTTCATTTAACAATCAACTTCTTATATACAAGAATTAGCAATTTTCTTCTTCAACAATATTTAAAAAGATATATATCAATTTTTTGAGACTTTATTATCTGTCTAGAAATAACATTTGTAATACTTACATTTAACCAACTTTAAATAAAATTTACTTATTGACTTTAAAAGTATAGTAAAAAAATTCTCTGAAAATTTGTCAGTGTCTGACAGCAGTTTTGATAATAAATAATTGTTTTCCAAAACTTTGAAGGATACTTGTAATTGGGTAACCATTCATGAAAATTAGAGAGAACATCAAATAGTGACAACTGTCTTCTAAGAACAAGAGGGCAAAAAACTCTCGACTGAATTGAAAGTTTGGCAGTCGTTGATGTAGCCGCAGAGCACTGGTGGCTGCATTACTGATCAGGGCTCTCTGGTAAAATCCATAAGGATTTCCCCTAACACAAAAAAACAAAAATTGAGTATTCATGGAGCAACTGCAATGCCTACCACAGTAAAATGTTACTCTTCGTAGACACATGCTATACAAGCATATGTATTTAAGTGTCCATCATCTTGGTGTCACACAAAAATTAGCCAGAACTACATTGTACATGTGCTACAATAAACAAGGCCCATAGGCCACAATGTTCACCGGAGTCACTATATGGTCCTTTTATTCTTTATCAGCAAATTTTCCCCTATATATTCCTATGTAAAATTAAGATCACATACTGTGTTCCCACCCTACTCCCAGGTGTCAAGATTTGAACAAACTTGAATCTACCGGTAGTCAATCTACACTACCTAAGTCTTTGACAAATCCTGGGAGTCTGAAGCTGGACCTGGTAAAGTTGGAAGCAGGTATGTAAAAATTGCAAACTAACAAGCCCCAAGGGCATGTACATTCTGGGGGCTTAAACCATATTGTTATAAAAATTTACTTTTACTTTTAATTTACAAAATTATCAATTCATTTATCAGATGTTTCATTATCATTCCTGAATAACATTACATACTAAATCGAATATTATCAGTAACATTACACATACTTAAAAGTGTTTGTTTGATTCATTCAACCAAAGTGAAGCATAAAATTTAAACAACAGGTTATTCTACCACTTTTCCAAGAAACTCTTTTCACATTGGAGATACAAAAAGTGTACAGGTTGAGAGCAATGGCATGACATTCTCAATATATGTTCTCAGAAAAATGGATTTCCTTGGCATGAAAGGCAAAAAAGAATAAAATTACCTACTGGTAATAAATTTTGGTCTCGTAAATATTTGTTCATGCTGGTTTATTTAGTGGATACACCTGCCTAAAGGGCATGTGCTGAAAGAAAGATTTGGCAAAGACTGCTACCTGAGGATGCTTCCATATATTATGTATATACATAAATGACTAATCATGGCTTTGCTGTTCTTGAGAAAAAGATATTTAAGGATTTTTCCTATGTATTCCAATGTAAAACTTTGATCTCCAATAGTGGTGAATTCCTACCCCTTGGGTCATGATTTGACTTAACCTGAATCTACACTTTTGTCAGGTAGATTTCACAAAAGATTCATCTTTTCTGGCTCAGTGATACTTGAGAAGATTTTAAATGACCCCACCCAATTTTACTATTTCTAAATTATCTCCCCTTGGAGGAGAGTATGGCCCTTCATTTGAATTAACTTGAATCCCTTTCCCCAAGTACACTCGTACTCTGTGCCAATTTGTGGTTGAAATTGGCCCAGTGGTTCTGGAGAAGAAGATGAAAATGTGAAAAGTTACAACAAAGATGGACAATGGACAAATTTCAATCTGTAAAGCTCACTTGATCATTCTGCTTTGGTAAGCTAAAAAAAATTTTGGTGCATACAAATCTACATGTCAACAAAATCAATCCCTCTTTTTGAAAAATCCTTCAATTTAACTTAAAAGTAAATACACATGCAATGTGTGATCCAAATTGACTTTTTGTACTTACCCAAGGATTGGAAAGATGAAAAGAAAACTACAAACTACTGTAAAAATTCTGGTCAGCCATAGTGCAGCTTCAATTTTGTTGGTCAGCATATAATTCTGTAATAAAATGATATTTTATCATTCTAAAACATGTGTCTGATGTACATGATGTACATATGATATTTGTTTATTCAGTCTGGTTAAATGTCTTGTTAAATCTGGAAGCACTTTATTTCATTTTCTTGACATTATCAGCAGATATAAACAGAAAACAAGAGGCCCATGGGCCACATCGCTCACCTGAGCACATTGGCTAGGCAAAAGCACAAATCAGTTCAGTATTAAAAAGATTACTTGTGGGGGGGGGGGGGGGGGGCTTGAATTTTAAACTACCTGATGATGATTCCATATCAATATAACAAATGGCTTTGTTGTACTTGAGATGATTTTAAAAAAATTCCCATATATTCCTTTGTAAAATTTTGATCCCCCATTGTGGCTCCTCCCTATCCCAGGGGTCATCATTTGAACAAACTTGAATCTACACTACCTGAGGATGCTTCCATATCAATATGACTAAACATAGCTTTTCTGTTCTTGAGAAGAAATATTTTTTCTATATGTTCTTATCTAAAACTTTCGAACCCCCACTGGGCCCCACCCTACCCCCAGGGGTCATCATTTGAACAAAATTGAATTTACACTACCTGAGGATGCTTTCATATCAAAATGACTAAACATGATTTTCAGTTCTTGAGAAGAAGATATTTTCCTGTATGTTCCTATGTATAATTTTCGATCCCCCATTGTGGCCCGTCCCTATCCCCGGGGGTCATCATTTTAACAAACTTGAATCTACACTACCTGAGGATGCTTCCATATCAAAATGACTAATCATGGCTTTGCAGTTCTTCAGAAGTAGAGATTTTCCTATATATTTCTATTTAAGACTTTGATCCTCCAATGTGGCCCCGCCCTATCCCTGGTGTCATCATTTGAACAAAACAGAATCTACACTACCTGAGGATGCTTCCATATAAATATGACTCATCATGGCTTTGCTGTTATTGAGAAGATTTTTCCTATATATTTCTATTTAAAACTTTGATCCTCCATTGTGGCCCCGCCCTACCCCCGGGGGTCATGATTTGAACAAACTTGAATCTACACTACCTGAGGATGCTTCCATATAAATATGACTCATCATGGCTCTGCTGTTCTTGAGAAGAAGATTTTTAAAGATTTTTCCTATATACTTCTATGTAAAACTTTGATCCTCCATTGTGGCCCCGCCCTACCCCCGGGGGTCATGATTTGAACAAACTTGAATCTACACTACCTGAGGATGCTTCCACATGAATTTCATCTTTCCTAGCCCTGTGCTTCTTGAGAAGAAGATTTTTAAAAGATACTATTAATTTTTCACTAATTCTTTATTATCTCCCCTTGAAAGAAGGTGTGGCCCTTCATTTGAGAAGAAGTTGAAAATGTAAAAAGTTTACAGACAGACAGACAGACAGACAGATGGACAGACAGACGGACGCTGGACAAAAAGTGATCAGAAAAGCTCACTTGAGCCCTCGGCTCAGGTGAGCTAAAAATGATCATGCCAAAAAAATTTTTTTGTACCATAGGACTGGCGGTAAATTTAGGTTTTGCTTTGATGTTGCTGTGTTGTATTTGCCAGAGGAATCACAGTTTTTCACGCCCACTTTTTGGCACCAAGCCATACTGTGACAAGAACTTGACTGATGAAAGAATGATGTTAATTTCCAGACCTTGGCAATGGCTGATGAATGAATGAAGTCAACATTTTTAATTTAAAAAATACTAACATTAACTTGCCAAAATTCGCCTCGTAATTTTTTCCATATTTTTTCTATGCGTTTCCTTATTCAGTAAATGATACGTTCTATCTCGAATTCTCATCATTATCTTTCCTTTCTCCAAGTACATGTAGCAATTTAACATCAGAAGTCCCTGCGTTTTTTTTTTACTTCATTTAGCATTTCAAACTTTCATTAAAATGTCAGAAATCATTTCATAGTGTCTATCAGGGACCTATATACTAGACAGTATATATGTTCCTGTTTTTATACGTCGATTGCCATATATAAAAAATTCAACGGCGATGTTTTCCATTGACAACCCCCCTCCCCCCTTTATGAAAAAAATAAATAAAAAAATAACGATCTCGAAAGAATGAATTTTCTTTTAGAGTATAATACATGTAGTTACAATCCTTACCCCTGTACCTTACCAAAAAATCATGTCCTCTGTGTTTACAACAATTCTAAAGTACATCATCACATGCACTCATTCCGATTTTTTTATCAGTGATTTTCAGCAGCAGCACCGTAGCAAAATATGATCCTTGCAGATGGAGACAGCTATTTATAATACATACTCCACACCATGGCTTGACACCATGTAGTAGGCGGTGCTATTTATCAATTTGCTTTTCTCTCATTGGTCCTCTGGTACAAGTAACTTACACAATAGATATTAATTGGGTATCGGTAAATACACTCACAGTTTTTATTCACTCGGGGCTCCGCCCCTCGTGAATGAAAAACTGTGAGTGTATTTACCGATAGCCAATTAATATCTATAGTGTAACTATAACTTGTCACCAGGGACAAGCAGTTTATGACATTCACTTGTCCTCTGTCAATTTTTCACTCATCCAGGAAGATTGGACGAGTGCTTTTTTTTGCACCTTGCCAAGCACAGTAAGTCGTGTCAAAATTGACTCAAATGAGATTTCTGGTGTTGTGAGAGCAAGAATTGAAGAAAAATGGGGGTTTCTGGTTGAAAATTCTAAATAAGGGACAAATTTCATGATCCAATGAATGGGGTACAAAATACATGACATTTCGTAACAGCCAGTACATATCTCATGAACTAAGATTTTCAAACTCTGAGATTCTAAAAGCTTGATAAATATTGTATTCTAAAAATTATTAGTGAGCACAGTGAGCGGCAAAATGTGCCGCTCATCACTCTGAGCTCTTAAAGCAATGCCTGGGCGAAGAGAAAAATTGGACTGTCTGCACATTGATCCAATAGACTTTTTTCCACAGTAAACTCAGTACCTGTAATGGTCAATAATATTGCATATGGCACCCAAACGAATTCTTGTGATAACCAAACAAAAGTATACAAATAAAAAATAAAATTAACCTTGATTTAATATTGTAGAGAGATGGCAGATTTAACATTTTTTTTGTTAAAGTCAAAGAACTGCACATTTCAGCGTTTGTTATAGAAATATACAACTAACATACGACGTCATGTGACATCACAATTTACACTTCCCAAATGTCTCCAAGAGGCAGATCTAAGTTAAAAGTGAATAGGTAGGTAATCAAATAATATACACATCTGTGCTCATTCCAACGGTTGCACAGTCAACATATTAATAATTATATATGCACTTTGTAAAAAAGTCCTATAATTCTAATAAAAATTTGTGAATATTTTTCCATCAATATATATATATATATATATATATATATATATATATATATATATATATATATATATATATATATATATATATATATATATCGCTAGCAACCAAACCTTTCCAGGGCTTAATTTAATGTGAGCCTGCCCCTGACAATACTGAAAACTTACTAGGACAGTTTGCTGCTGGGCCCCTGCATTGCCTTGACTGTTACCGCTTGTGCCATTTCCAGTGTTGGAGTCTCCACCAGCACTGTTATCACTCATTCTGTTTTAGTTACTGGATAAAACATCAACCAATATGAACAAATTTAAGAGGCTAAGAGCCGAGATTGCAGTGAGCCATGCATTTATTTTACCGTATTCACAACAATCAAAAGCACTTTTAAAGCAGACATAATTAATACAGTTATAAACATGATACGGAAAAAAATCTTGTTCATAAAAATGTTTCTTTTTCCCAACTACTATGTCTTTCAATATCCATCGTCTTTTGCGCAAAGTCAGTGACCGAAGCCGAAGGATATTTTGTTGTTCCATCACACTATACTGTTCAAATCACATTAAAATAAAAGGAAACCTTGATGCTGTCATTTATCTTACCTTAGTCTTTGTAAATTTCTGCTTCGTGTTTAAAAGAGATAAGGGTCTTTTCTGTGTAACTGTACATGCAAGTGCCAAACGGATGTCGTGAATTTGAGATGATTCTGCAAACGGATATAATTTTTGGTTTCAATTTTAGAAGAGTTCCACTTCCGTTTAACATGACGTTATCTGAACGAGTTATCTTTCTTATATCATTGAATGAAGCTTTTAAAATTAACTTGATTGGAGAGTATTTAAAAAATAATAATAAAAAAAAAAATTAGGTGAGTTTGACAAAAAACAAAATGAAAAGAAAAGAAAAATAAATGTGAAACTCTAATATATAAAGTGTATTTTGATAATCAAGGATTTGTATTTAAAGAAAAGCAATGAATAAGGCATAGGGATAAATGCGAATGCTGCTTCGACTGTTTTTTGAAAAGAAATTATGCAAAAAATTTTTGTTTCTTTTGTTTTGTTCTTCTTTTTTCATTAACCTTACAATAGATTCATTAGGGTATTAGTGCCAAATTGTTCTAAAAATTACCGTATCTCAACAATAAAATAATCAAAGGACTGGATCAAAAACTGAGAGGATTACGAAATAAAAAAGTTTATTAACATTGACTGAGCAATGCATAATAGCTGGGTATGTTTTCACGAGACACATATGACAAGAGTTAATAAGTCTAGCAGATCAAGAAAACGTTTTGAGTCCAAAAAATGGTTGCTATATGTGCGTGTAATATTTACATGATGTTTTGTATTTTTGTCCATTTTTAGAAAACCTAAAGTTATATATATGGCGTATTTTTAATAAGTTTTGACTAAATAAAGTAAAAAGGATCTTTTGATTTTTTTTTATTACTTTATAAAAGATAGGACTTTCCTGTAAATTACACAATTTAAATCAATCGCGTTTCATAGACATTAGAAATTTAAAACAAAAGCATTCTGAGAGTATTGCATTAGCAATACTAGTCCCCTACCGGCAAATGTAATCTGGTTCCCGTTAAGAATTTAAAAATGCCATAATTCCGTCAAAAATCAATGAAGCGGGACGAAATGCAAACTTGATCTATAACTAATCAAGGTAACATCACTTACCAAAAATCAGCTCAATATCTGAAAGCGTTTAGAAGAAATTGCGGAAAACCCTTAATAATTGAAAAGGCCGTAATTCCGTCAAAAATCAATGAAGCGGAACGAAATGCAAACTTCATCTGTAACTCATCAAGATACACTCACACACCAAAAATCAGCTCAATATCTGCAAGCGTTTAGGAGAAAAGTGCGGAATACCAAGTGGGACAGACTGACAGAGGGACAGACAGACAGACAGACGGACAGACAGACAGACAGACGGACGGACAGACTCAGAGGAAACCTATAGTCCCCTCCGGTTTCACCGGTAGGGGACTAATAACCGATTTATTTACCGACTCCGCATTTGATATCAGACACAGTTTAAAGTCAATTTAACTATAGAAACGTGGGGTTATTCAAGTTCAAAATCGGTGAAATTTTAATTTGAACGTAAATAACAAATATCATGTTCATATACACTTCAGTCTCGTATTCTTATTTTTTTTTTAGCCCAGATACATCATATATAGTTTTAATCATTGAATTAATTTGCTTAGAAAACTTCAAGTGAAAATAGTACACGTACTTAAAATATATCCTTTCTATACAGGGAAAGGAACATATTGTTTTATAAAGATTGCATGTTTAAAGATCAATGTTTTGCAGTGCAAGCTGAAGTTGTTTTAAAGAAAAATCTTTCAACCTCTTGTACTTTCTGTGATTAATGGTGTTTCAAAGCTTTTAATAATATCGTCATCACATCTTAATTTTTGTGATAAAATTTTGATGAATTTTTTAACTAAATTCAACTGCCTATGCGAATACCTTGACACTCGTATGGCTCCATAACGTATAATAATGTACATTATACGGCAACATATAACATATAACTTGATAAGAGCAATTCATTGATTATTTAGTCTAAAAGGTATCCAAGGTCTTTTTTTCTATTTTGCCCCTAATCATATAAGAAAAGGATATTTTTTTTTTTTAAAAAAGCTGCCAATAATAAAGTAGACAAGTGAGTTCTTGATTCTGCATGTTTAAAGATTTCAATTTTTATGATAAGATTAAAAAAAAAACGTATATATTAATTATACGTATCCTCAATTTATTGGTAACAAATACAATTGAAATTTAATCTATCTGTTTTTACTCTTCCAAAGTGTAATTTTGAATTTAATCTATCTGTATTTACTCTTCCAAAATAGAATTTTGGTCAATAATTCTAAAGCTTCATGGGTATGAATTGGAATTTGAAGATCAGGTTTAAATGAAATATAGGTCATATGGATTTTTCAGTTACAAATTAAAAGACATAACGGTTTTCCGGAAAGCAGATCATCATATTCTATGTCATAGCCAATTCTCATGAGAGTGAGAATTTCGTTGTTTTTTCAATTCCGTCAAATCGATTTGGCACCCATAAAGTAATGGACGTAAAACTACAATCAATCTATAATCAATTTATAATTAATCAGTCAATCAATCTTTAGAATACAAGTAAGCCAAGGTCTCCAAAGCTATGCTATATTTAATGAAGGTAAACGTTCTCCCAAACTATATTTGGACTGTTATGCTAAACTTCAACTTTTGATTTGGATATTCTTGGATGAATAGACGGATATCGATACATGTTTTAGAATAATAATGTAGTTGGAATTTAAGTTGTATTTACAATGCTTTGTAGCTAAATATTATCTAGACTGCATATAACCTGTACAATGCATGTGCGCCATGTTTTATTCAGTTGAAGATTATAGAACAGACAATAGAAGTTTTTTGAAACCACTTTTTAGATTACATTCCAATATATGTCTGTGTGGCTGGTGTTAAAAGCTTCATGCATTAAAAAGTACATCCACCCAATGGCATCGTAATGAGTCCTTAGGAATATTGGAATTCATTAGTAGAATGATAGTAATCTCTTTCCAGGATCGAGTATTCTGGAAAGCTTAATTTTGATATTCCAGTTGTTAAAGAATGACTGCGATTTTGCTTTATGGATGCCTTGCAAATCGATTAAAAGAATTGGAAGACAAAATTCTCACGAAATTCGACTATGGTATAGAATATGATAACCTGCTTTCTGGAAAACCGCATGTTTTGTATTCAATATGACCTATATTCCATAACAAGTGAATGCTGAAGATGTTGATATTTGTATTAACTTAAGAATTATTGACCAAGATTACATATTGGAAGATTACATAGATAGATTAAATTTGAGTTGTATTTGTCACCAAATGAATTGAGTCTATATATAATTTATATAATATCCGTATTTTTAGTTTTGTGAAAAGATACAAACATATATGTTTATCATACAATGTAAGCTAATCAAAAAATTGAAATCTTCAAATAGAAAAAAAAGAACTCCCTTGTTTATTTATTATTGGCAGCTTTAAAAAATATTCATTTCTTATATGATTAGGAGAAAAATTGAAAAAAGGACCTTGGATACCTTTTAGACTGAATTATAAATGAATTGTTCTTATCAAGTTTTTATCATAAAAAGTTTACCATTATAACGTTATGGAGCCAGATGAGTGTCTAAAGACACAAAATATTCGCATAGGCAGTTGAATTGAAGTGGACAACATTCTGGTTTGTATGCAAGTCTATTTGAAAAAATTCATCAAAATTATATCATAAATATTTCGATGTGATGACGATATTATTAAAAGCGTTGAAACAAAAAAAGTACAACAGGTTAAAAGACTAAAGTCTTCTAAGCAAATTATGATGTCAAAAAAATGGAACCCCCCCCCCCCCCCCACAAAACAATTTATAAAATACATGCATATATAGTAAATATTTCCTTGGGAAAAACACTTTCTTGATCTGCTAGGCCTTACTAACGTGACTCGTGAAAACATATATTCAAACACTCCCTGCTATTATGCATTGCTAACTCAATATGAATAAACTTTTTCTATTTCGTAACCATCAAAGATTTGGATCAGTCCTTCTCAGTATTCTGTTGTTGATATTTCAAATTCACTATTAAGAGTATATATTTATAAACATTGTTGAAATCACTGAGCAGCTCCAAAGCACTTAAACTTTTGTTTATTTCATAGCTGAGAAACAGATTCACCAAAAACATTCATCTTGTTAGTCTGATTAAATTTTGCAGAAAAGTCCTTCATTGAGTCTAGTTGTGTTCGTTATCCCTCACAATGTATGTAACTATGTCAGCATCTACATTAACCCGTCTGGAAGGAACTTCCATGACATATCATGTATTCTTAAAAAGAACATTCATTGCTATCCATGTCAGTAAACGTTTCCATATTTTCACCCGAAAAATTGCCAGTAATACTTCTATGTCATCCAAATCTCCTACTTGACTTTTTCCTTTAGGGGGAAAACTGTGAACCTCTTTTGACAATATTTTGCACGGTCACGTTTTCATAAGTCGGATACATGTATTCCGTTATTCCTCCCCCCCCCCCCCCTCCTCTCCCATGACTTAGTAGCGACGACCCTGTACATTCCAATAGAACAGTGGTGCGAACCAAGGTAGAGTTTTTACTTTGTACGTCTCTGCTCCAAAGTGCTTCTTTCTGAAAGAATAAAATGTATATAACGACAATTGTCCGGTGCAATAGAATGCTAGATCAAAATCATTCAAGCAACATTTGCGTATGTCAATTATTTAAATAATGAGTAATAATAATAAGTTGTTCTTGTTTTATTTTTACTTACTTGTTATTACTTAATTCTTATTTTTTTTATTTCTTGAGACTTACTTATTACTGAATTCTTATTTGTTATTACAAATTCCAACTTAACTTCAAAACTTCAGACGTACTGTACTACAGCATATTCTAGAAGTGGTGTAAATCAAATTTTGATTCTCAAAAACTCCAAAGAACTTTTAGAAGATTTAAAATCGCCCAATTTTTAAAAAGTCGGTAACATCAAAACCTACTTTTTTTCTACACCTTATACAACCTTTCCATATGATAAATTAAAAACTAGGCTTTTTTGATATCATAGACAACTACTTCTTCAATAAAA